CCGTCATCGCCAAAGTGTCTCAGCTCAGGAACTTAGGTATGAAAGGGAAATGTCATGAATTGAGCACCGCACTCACCCGATCAAAGATCAGCCTTTACTAATCATGATGTGATTTTTATGTACATTATATGATCTTGTTCCGATTATTATGCTATCGTTACTATGTGATGTCAAACAAATATAGACTAATTCACAAAAAGTTGAAACGCTTTGATTTCATGTTTGTTTGAAAATTATTTTGAATATGTCCACTCAAAAAAAGTGATCTCATATGTACATTTATTCAAACCATCCCAACTTAAGCGAAAAGCCTCTATCCACAGGAATTCAAGAGATATATCAACTAAGCACTTAGTCTCATGGTAATCATGCTTGACATGACAATAATCACACGCATGCAATATGCTAAAGCAAAAACCGCTCACCTAATACTCCGAGGTAGGCCAAGAAAAACAACAATGAGTAAAAAAAATGCATGATCCTAAACAATGCATCATAACTAATGCAACAGATACAACGTGCAATTAATAGGCTCGGCTACTAGCATAGCATGTGAATCAATTCAAAGCAAGGGATAGCACATGTATTCAATTAAGGAATTTGAAATTGACATTGGTTAGTATGATGAACAGAGCCCTTATGCATGTAAAAGCGGATACAAGTTATGGCAATGAAAATGTAAAACATGAATGTAACATTCAACCATCGTAAGCAGGGAAATAAAATGGAGAAAGAAATGGGGGTTGGAAGACATACACACATTATTACATATTTTCCCTCATGCAGGAGGGTCCGAATGTCCAAGCGCCTAAATCAACTAACTATTACAAATCGAATGAATTAGCAAGCTAGATTAACTGATTATTACAAGTTCAAATGAATCTAAGTAACTAATTACAACACACTACTATCAAAGCATTAATATCACGAGCCGCGGAGGACGAGGAATTGCATATGCATGAACATGAATTTCTACCCGAAAAACCCCTCTGTTTTGCTACCAGAATTGTTCTGTTTTCTCCCCAGCCTTTGCTCTGTTCTTCCACGAAAATGGCATTGCTTGGTCAAAAAAATATGGCCGGTCGGCCAGACGGTCAGGTGGCTAGCCTGCCACTATTTGGGGGGTCTGCCCTACTGCAATAAAAAGAAAATAGAGCACAAAAGGTGGCCGTTCTGAAGTGGTAAAGTGGTGGAGTTTGGTATGGGTTGTGCCTAAGAATATAACTCAGCTTCTGGATTGGTGGAGTGGTTATAAATTTAAGAAAATGCTTAAGCGTATGTGGAATGCAGTACGATCTGTGGTCATGTTGTGGAAGGCTAGAAATGAAATCAAGTTTGCTGGTTCAGATGTTAACTGGTGTGGTGTCTGTGAGTCCATTAAGTTGCACATTGCTTTTTTGGTTAAGTATCATACTAAGGGGGTTGCTTTTTCAGTTAATGATTTGTTTTATAATTTGAAATCTATTAGGGGGCTTTAAGGTGTGGTTGATGCTGTCTACGTCTTTGTGTTAATGCTGTCTATCTCTTGGTTTGTTGCTGCTCTATGTTGTTATACTGTTGTGTTGTTTAGCTGCTGCTGCTGCTGCTGTGTTGTTATATGATGTATTGCCCTGCTTTGGTTTTCTGCTGGTTGGTTTCTCACCAACTAGCTTTTGGCCAGTGTTAGCACATGATTGGGTGGCTTTCTTATGCCAACCTGGTTAGGATGAGTAAGGTTTACTATGATACTATTAGCACTGCTTTTGTTTATCTTTATCTTTATTGATGTAAGATGTAGAGATTTTTTCCTTGGTTCTAATTCAATAAAGTGTTATTTTTGCTGATCAAAAAAAAAAAAAATGTTTTAGTCGCTGAAAAGGTGATATTAATTTTTTTTGAAAGGCTTTGGCGACTAAAAGATTGGTCGCCAATTTAGCCTATCAACGACAAAAGTTTTTTTTTGTCGCCAATAACTTTACTTTTGGCAACTACTTGTTTAGTTGCCAATTTAAGACTTTCGGCAACTAAAATTTTTTTAGTTGCCAATACCTTTCCCGACCGTATTTCTGTGACCAAGTTGGCGACCAAACTATTTAGTCGGGAAAACCTTTTGGCTACTAAAAATATGACTTTTGGCAACTAAAAATTTAGTCGCCAAAAGTGCAATTTCTTGTAGCTTCTTTGGTAACTATTAAACAATAACTTCATCAAAACAAAAATGACCTTACAAAAATATCGGGCTTGTTTAGTTTGTTTTTGGGAGAGTTGTTTTTGAAAAAATTTTGGGGAGTTGTTTTAGAAATTTTTTTGGTTTGTTTGGTTGTATATTTTGAAAGTAGTTTTGAAGTTTGGAAGTTTGGGATGATTTGATATTTTGTTGTAATTGAGTAGATGTGTGTGAGAGAAAAAGTGATTGAGAAGGAGAGAGGAGAGAGAAAAAGTGATTGATTGATGTGTAAGAGAGAAAAAGTGATTTTGGAATTTTTTTGAGAAAAATCTCAAACCAAACAATTTTTTGAATTTTTTTTTTTCTCTCCCTATGTCCTTCCCTTCCTCCTAGCAAAACAAATAAATTTTTACAATATCGTCATTTTTGCAGAACCAAATACAGAAACTGGTGTGTTGGGGAACACACTAGTTTCTGTGTTTGATTCTGTCAAAATGACATTTGACCATTGGAACACATTGCTATAATTCTACTATTTTCTACTATTCATTACCAAATAATAATAATAATAATAATAATAATAATAATATTATAACATTTGTCATTGAAGATCCTCTCGAAATTGTCATATTATTCAAAAGATTTAAGTTTTGTTAGAAATTGGGCGCCCATGTGGCATGACCCTTAGAACCTTTTGAACCTCATCCAAATGGGTTTTGAATTTGAATTCAAACCTATTTGGATGAGCCACTCAGGATATATATCTATCATATCATGATATGGATAGATGATATAGATATCAGATATTATCTCATTTAACCAATGGATAAATGAGATAAATATAATATATATCTGATATATGGTTATGGGTAACCAAGAGAGAAAAACAACGTTGAGTCTGTTTTCTACCCATATACTGACTCTCTCCCAAGAAACAACGATCAAGTCAATTGCACTGTGGTTTGTGTGGGTGATATTCATGAATCTAGCAGTTATACCGTGCCAATGATGCTATCAGTAGTTTTATTTAATAATTTGTTATTATTTATTCTATTATGTTTATGTGGTAAGATATTCATTGAAAATGGGGTCCACCCGTCATACGTAAGTGTGATTGGTGATTTGAAGTTATCAATATCATCATAATACTGAAATTTTATTCAAGTCCCAAGTTCATGATGGACTAATAGTTTTATGTGATTTTTTTTGGAAAAATTACAAATCATAGACATTTTTCTAAAATAATTATATATTCACAAAAAAAAAAAAATTAATTTAATTATTAAAATTTGTAAAATTTACCATTAATTTCAAAATTAGTTTTTTTAAACTTGCACTGATTTGTTATTTTTCCTATTTTGTTATATTCACAGTGAAAATATTGTAGATTAAGTCTAAAAAAATAAAAAAATAAAAAAACAAAGATGAATTTCAAATCAGCGTATAAATGGAATAATAATTACAAATTAATAATAAATTTTATCAATATTGATAATTAATATTATAAACTTTTCCACACATGAAATATTTTTTTATAATTACCACCTGCAGTTAATTTTCCCCAAAATAAAAATATTACATCTCAACTATCATCCCTTGAATGAAATACCATATTATCTAGTTAAAAAGTGATATGTGTGCATAAACAAGTTCAAGGAAGTGGCAGGTTGTTACTTTTTATTTTGTTTTAAATTTTTTGTTTCATTAAATCTAGATTTTTGGATCCTATTTGACGAAATGTATCAAACAACATCTAAATCCAATATAAAGTAGAGCTAAATAAGTCATAAATACATGTATGGCTGTGATATGACCAAAATCATTAACCAAAATTATATAAGACTAATCATATTTACAAACATCATTGCTCGCATATAATTTGTTCTATTTTTTTTTTTTTAAATAAAAGAAACCACATAAATTTCCAATCACACACTACATTGAACAATATAATTTACGGGATATAGTAAACCCTCAAAATATTTGTAAGCACAACATCAACAAGGCCAATGGCCTTTAATTCACTAATTGTAAAATTCATGACACATTTTAAATTTTTAGCAGTTACAAAATAATTCAAATCTTAATTTTGTCAATTATGAACCAAATACAAATTACAAACAGATCAGGTAATCTAATGTTATCAAACTTTTATTATTTATCTACTCATATCAAACCTATTATCACACACAGAGTTGCATACATTCTATCATGTCTCAAAAATCACAATACACTTTTAAATTTTTAACAGTTACAAAATTTATAACACACTTATTCTCATAAATCTTTATTTCCGTTAAATTACATTGAGATCCAAATACTAATATTCAATAGTCACATACTATCACTTACATATAATAACGGTAAATCAAAGATTAAGCAATAAATTAAATATGCAACTATTTCACGTACTACTTTAGCGACAAATTCGAAATGATATTTGATAACAATTATATTCCATTTCAAGTTATTTTAATTTATAATCCTTGACTTTACAATTATTTAACATTAACATTGCAATACAATATCCTCAATATTAACCACCAATGACTAAAATCTACCAATTGCATATACAATAAAAATTTCAAATATGCTATAATATTATTTATCATAGAATATATGACAAAATTATAAAATAAATAAAATACTCTTATGTTAAAAGTCCTTGCGATTTTTATCCATTATACATCTTTAGAAAACACCGAAATATATCTAAGTGAAAATCTCATAACATTTAGTCATTACATAATTATAATAATAAAACTTAATAATATCTTTGTAACCGAAATTTTTAAAATCAATATTAATGTTCATAACAGTCAAACAAATTAAATAGCAATAACACCTGTAACAGTCAAACAAATTAAATAGCAATAATTAATTTTATTTTTATTAAAATTCCAACAAATTAAACCCAAAATCATAAGCAAACACGCAAGTTCTTCATAGCAACAAAAGACAAACGACAAAATATCAAAAAAATCCATGTCCGTAGTCGAGGGTATATCCATGTGGAGTCATGGACAGACGTAGCCCTGAAACCTTAACACCATCAGAAGCACCTCCAACACGCCATCCCATGGAACTTGACCCAGCTTCAAAAAACCTCGAGGGGTTCGATTCCTCCATCTGAATCTTCTCACTTTGCTTCGCAACATTCTTCTTTAGATCCTCCATTGCAACCTTCAATTGCTCGAGTTGCTGAAGTCCAAGCTCGCTAACCGGTGCTTCCCACCAACACCTGTCTTGGCTAGCTTTCCTCATCTTGTCAAGCTCTTCACCTCTTTTCTTCTCTGCTTCCAACATATCAAGTGCTTCAGTAAGTTGCAAGTTGAGCTTGCTAACATTCGCATTGCAGTGAGCCTTGACAAGTTGGAGCGAGCCTGAATTGGGTAGAGAGTTTCGAGAGAGAAAACAATCTACAACAGTGTCAACACAAGGGTGGCCAAAAGAGAAGGCCTTTTTGCCAGGAGAGAAAACGATGATAGCAATTTCAGCACCACATAGGGTGCAGAGTTCGCTTGCCTTCTTGAATAGCCCAGAACGACGCTTTGAGAAGGTAACCATTCGGTTGCTTTCATTTGACATTCTTGTCATCGCGATCTTCTGACGGCCTTTGCCCTTCCTTTCCATGGCTGCAAATGATGAGAAAAAAAGAAGAGAAAAATTATTAGAGAAATAGGGAATTGAAATGGTGATTATCTAATGAGAGAAACATGAGAGTATGAGTATATATAGGGTGACCCCATATATATAAATTTAATTTACTCTCAAAGTTATTGCATATTTCCTTCCTTTTAGGTTTTAATACTATATTTTACATGCCATTTAATTTAATTACATGTTTTGGGGCAAGTTACTCTGTCTCAAAATTTCCATATCCTTTTACTCTCGTACGCTGACAACTACCCAACGTGATATAAATCTCAAAACAAAAATGAGTGTTGGAACTTAAAAGCATAGCGAAAGCATGCAATTTTGTTCTCTCAAAATTAGATTGTATTTGGGGCCTCATAGATTGTCAAATTTTTTTTTTTTTTCCTTCTTTGTACAAATGCAATCAATCATAATACTTAAATGTTTATCACTAATCCAAGTATATACTTAAATGCAATATAATTTTTTTTTGCAAATTAATATCATTGTAATACATCTGTTATACCCAATATACTCGTATTTATGGCCATAAATTGCCAAATAGAATGTGATACAAAAGATGGTGAATTAACAAGAGGAAACAAATCGAACAATGTCAAGTCCGTAAACATTTCCTCTTCATTTTCCTTAAGCTTCCTTTATTGGAAAAAAGAAAATTAAGAGAAGAAAACCACACGCACATATAAAAAGCGCATAAATTTATTATGGTCACATTACTACATATTACCATGTTAATTATTTTGTTTTACCACATTTTAATCGTGTTTTTGTAGTTGAACCCTTTGTAATTTTGAGTCGTGCAATCACAAATAACTCGGCTATATATGGAAGTGACAGAAAGATAAAATACGAGAGAATAAACTCACGTGGGCAATAGTGGAGGGGACTCTAGAGTATATTAGGCATCGTTTGGCAACTTGAAGTTTTATTCAAAAAGTCAAAGTCATTATAAGTTGTCATATCACTCTCTTTATTTTTTTGTACATCTTTTTTTAAAAAGTCAAAAAATTACTAAAATAACATGTTCCCCAACCAAGCCTAACCAAGTTTGAGTGGTTTAGAAAAACAATGTGAGATAAATCTAAGAAGCCAATTAAGGCTCTTTATTTAAGAAGGCCTCTAAATTTGTAACTCTTAATTATGTATACATTAGACCCATCATATTTTAAAAAAATTATGGAACCGATCATGTCATATTAAAATCCACATATAAATTTTAAAAAAATTATTAGTGAAATATTTAGATGATATAGCAGCACTAAAAAAAAAGAAATCAAATAAAATAAATAAAAAAAACTTCTTGGGGGCATAAATTTTGCAAGGAACACTTCCATTTATCCCATTAGTGTTATTAGGAGTTTTAAATCCTTTAATATGTAATTGTAACCAACCTCATAAAATTACAAGACAAATGTTAATCTATTAAGCCGAGTTGAGCTAGTTTTTTAAGGTTGGCTTAATATTTTGGGCTGAATTTGGAATTTTTGTTTCTCGGCCAGCCCGGCACACTAATAAAATTTCGATATGTATTGGTGGTCAGATCTGTTTGTTAATGGTGTGGTGGTCAGAGAAAGAGAGGGAGGGAGAGAGTTTGATTTGGGAACCGTCGGAAAGAATGAAGAGAGATTGATTTGGGCAGGCAGAGAAGAGAGGAGAGTTTTGAGAGAGAAAGAGAGAAAGAGAGAAGCCTAGGCGACCTTCACTGCCACGTTATTTGGGATCAGGTGATATATTGTGTATATGAAATATTTTTCTATAAAGCTAAATAGTTCAATAGTTGAAATTTCATAATTTTATTTTTAAATTGTTTAGCTTTGTAAATTCTGTAATTGTGAGTGGTTTTGATCCCTATATCATGGAAAATTGATGTGGTTGAGTAATTATTTGATATTTTTATATGAATTGTGAAATTACAAAATTTTAAAAAAAAAAAAATAGTTTCGAGAAATTATATAATTATGATTCCTTTTTTCTATGGATTAAAATGTTTATTTCTAATTAAATTAAAGAGAACTTTGGGCAAATTATTATATTTTGCAAACCCGTACATTGCATTGCATTTACTTATTGGTCCATTATTTTGGATGTTGGAATATTGGAAAGGGGGTAAACGGCATAATAATCCGGATAGTGAATCGGTTTTTGAAAAATGTGGAGTACTATATTGGTATTCGTGCAGGCAATCAATGTGTCCAATTGCCTTATCGCGTGCTTGATGCTGGATTAATGTACGAAATGATGTTTTCAAGGTGCTCAATTGCCCTTCAGTACTTGATGCCAAAAAATGTGAAAAAATGTTTGTGTGCCCAATTGTCCTCCCATGCTTGATGACGGTAAATGTGGGGCTATTGTTATATATATATGTATGTATATGTATATGTATGTATTTGGCTCACACTTTGGGATTCTAGTGCATGTTTACCGCCCCATTCTTGATAGTGGTTTGTTTTAATAAAGGTGTATTAATGTATCATTCTTTTGCATAGAACAGAGAGATGAATTTTGGACAGGATATTGCGTTGGCATGATCATACTTATATCAAATGTTTATATATCTCGTTATATGCATTTATATTGGGTAATCTTGCTTATTCCTATCATAATTAACACTTTCAAGCCAAGATGATGGAGTTATACCTCGCTGACTAGATGATGGGGATATTTTCATGAAGCACAAACGCTCATTTTGATTTGCTACTTGTGCAATACAGCTACCGAGCTAAATTGTAAAGATAATATTCTATTTTGTGTAATCAAGACCCTTGTCTCGAAAGATGTAAGCTATTAAGGCATCCTTATTTGTATCTCTCTCTAGCTCTTTGAACTACTAGTATAATTATTTGCATTTTGGAAAGATATTAACGTATTGTGAACATGTAATCTGTTGGCAAATTCAAGGAGAAAGAAAAGTATTTTTAGATTCTATTTATATCTTTATTAAACACTAACTTCTATTATGAAATGGAAATAAGAATAAAAGGGTTGATAACTATAAATGATTAAAATATTGGGGTGTTACATTTTACTTTGGGAGGGGCAATACTTCGCCATAAAAGTTTGCAGTTGTTGTTGTCCTCGCCAAGAGCTAGATGGCAATGAGAGATAAGAGGTTTAAGAGTAAATAGACCATGTTTGTCAGCCAAACAATGGAGGGAGTCATTTTGACGATGGAGTGGCATGACACCTAAGAGTAAGTGAAGAAGATCCCTTAAGAGATCATATTCCCAATGGCAAAGATGACGTCTAAATTGTAGATTCCAAATTGGTCACTCACTAGAGTGTGAGAAGATTTCAGCAATGGTATTATCTTTCTTGGTGGAAATGGAGAACAATATGGGGAAAGCCTGAGAAAGAGGTCTAGTTAAGATCCATACATCAGACCAAAAGAAGATGTCGATTCCTGAACCAAGCTTCAAAACCAGATTATTCAAGAGGAAGTCACTAAATCCGTCACCTCCCCAACCAACCTCACAGATTTCATTCCAAATCTTAGAGAAGGAAGATGCTTGCATATCATAGGGGAACCAACTATTGGCTCTGACTTCAAATTTATTAACTATCACTTTTCTTCAGAGTGCATGCTTTTCAGAACCATAACGCCACCACCATTTTGCAAGCAAGGCATCATTTTTTAACTTTAGAGATTGAACAGCGAGCCGCCAAACCTTCTCCATAGTTATAGCTTTCCAACTTGCAAGGTGAATTCCTCTTTTTTCGCCACACCCACCCCAAAGGAACTTTCTCTGTAATTTTTCATGTTTAGAACAAACGCTGACTAGCATCTTATAAAGAGACATAAAATAGATTGGAACGTTGGCAAGAGATGCATTAAGCATAGTTAATCGTCCTTCCAAGGATAGATACTTCTGCTTCCAAGAGGATAAACAAGACTTGAATCTATTGCTAATTGGTTGCCACACCAAGACTGACCTTGGATTGACTCCAATTGGAAGGCCTATGTAGGCTAGTGGAAGATTCGCAATTTTACAGCCAAGAAGCTCTGAGGCCTAATGCACGAAACTATTTTCAACTCCAATTCCACAAATGGGGCTATTGTTAAAGTTTACTTTTAACCCAGACATTAGCTCAAAACTGATTAGGATGTTCTTGACTTGATTGAGCTCCTCCAAATCAGCAGATGCAAATAGCAATGTGTAATTGGCAAATTGGAGGTGAGATTACCAACCCATTAGTACCAACAGCAACCCCCTAAATCAAGAAGACAATTAAGTCCTTCGGCCACAATCAAGAAGAGAAAGGGGGAGAGAGGGTTCCCTTGTCGGAGGCCTTTGATCATGACAAATTTGGAGGAGGTAGAACCGTTTACAAGAACTAAGACTGAAGCTGAGGAGAGACACTCGCGTATCCAAGTACACCGCTTGAAGCTTGGAGTTGAAGATCATTTGGAAGAAGAACTTGAGTTTTTGGCGCATCATTCATTTTCTACTTCTTGCTTCCATTTCTAAGTGTTTAAAGCTTCAAAGAGGTAGGGATTTTCTCACTTCTTAGAACATGTTAGGGTGATTTCAAGTTAATTTTTTTTTTTTTTTTTTTAAAAAAAAAAATTCATGAAGGTATGGCATGATTTGGTATGAAGAGCTATGTTACACAGACTTTTCAAAATAAATCAAATACCCGTGTCGAACACCCGACACTCAGACAAGGGTATGAGATATGCGTCGAATACTTTTCAACGGATACTTTTTATATAATGTTATATAACACTATTATTATATGTACATATTGTTGTATAATTGCTATAAATGTCATTTTGACACTGTAAGTTACATATAGTATCATTTTATCTCACATATTAGATTAAAAATATAAAAATATGACATTTTTTTGCCGAGCCCACGTACCCTTAAATTTATGATTTGATGAGTCCGACCTCTAGATACATATCCGCATCTAACACTCGTATCCGAGTCCATGTAACATAGATGAAGAGCATGATTTAACAGCATGATTTAAATGATTTGATATGAAAAGCATGATTTAAATTGTCTTGTTTAAATCTATGTTATACATGTTAGTTTATGACACTTGAAACTAATTTTTGGGTTAGAGTTAAATTTACGTATTTTAGACTTGAAAAGTTACTTAGTTGGTGGGTTTCATGAATTTGGAGTATAATGTGGCCATGTTTTATTTAAATTCGTGAAACACAATGTTGAATAAATTTGGGCTTAAATCTCAAAAAGTATTATCTATGACATATTCTAAGATTCTTGATGTAAAGGATATGAATTTTTGGATTTTTTTTTTTGGGTGCTTAAATCTCAAAAAGTGTTATCTATGCCATATTCTATGATTCTTGATGTAAAGGATATGATTTTTTGGAATAACTTTAGATTTTCGTTAAATCTTGAAAGTATTGAAAATTTGGGAAAAATAATGTAGTTGGGCTAATAAGGCGATTAAATATCGTAGTTATAAAGATGATTTGATTTGGTTGAGTTGTGCGATTGTTTCATATTTAGAAATTGAAAAACCTAAGTGACTCGTGATTAGATTAAGATTTAATTGTACCAATTCCCCAAAGGGTATGAGCAAGCTTGACTTGGAAGTCTCACAATCTGCAAGAATGAGTACAAGAAACATAAATGGAAACACCACATTTGTAAAGTGTTGTAATCAGAAACCATAGAAATACAAATGATAGGACTATGTCGGTGAAGATCAGTATCAAACCACAAAGCTAATATTGCAACAGAAGGGGATTACAAAACAAGAAAGCTGACAAATGAGAGGGTTTTACTTTCTTTGTCTAAATGAGAGGATCAAAATATATTCGTAGCATCATTACTAGTCCAATCACAGCTCAAATATTTGAAACAAGGAAACTGAGTACTAACTATAACTATTCATGGACTGAAAATGTTATATATTAAATAAATAAAATGAAAATGTTAAGTGCCGCCAAAGCTATATATTCAAAAACAAATCTAGGAAGCATTTCACTCTGTAACAAGTAGATAACAATTAAGAGTTGAGGAGTACTAATATCATATCCCCCATTGAAGCTAAAAAAACAGTGCAATCTTCCTACAAAAAAACTCCATAGGCAACCAAACAAATCTTTCATAACACAACCCAAGCATGGCCAAAAGACTTTACATTCTATCGAAGAATTTGTAGGCAAGGGAGGAATAAGGGACTATTTGCATATTCAAATCAATGAGTCAAACAATTTAACTATATATAATGTTGCTTTTAGTGAGTGAAGAAAGGTATTAGGAAAAAAAAAACTCTTTCTTTAGTAAAGTGTTTTTGAAAGCACATGAGTAGCGGAAATTTCTTACTAAAATAAACCAAAAATCAAACATGTAGAATCACAATTTTCCGAAAAATAGTTTACCATCAAGAAGGAATTAGTCTATTGTCATGTCAAACCATCCCTAACAGATAAGATTGGGAAAAAAATAAGAATAACCTGACAACTTTAATTGACATAATTAGACCACGACAAAACCCATTTGAAATGAAGAAAAACCCACTACCCCAATTGACATTATTATTATCAGTAGCCAAATTAAGTTGAAAGAGTATTCTTTTACCCGGATTCGTATCCTCACATACTTGATCTTTGGTCCCATGTTAGCATGTTTGTTTAAATTGGTAACCTATTCAAAAGAAAAAGAAAAAGAAAAATAAAAAATCAGCCTATAATAACTCTTTGGTAAAATTAAAAAAAAAAAAAAAAAAAAAAAAAATGGTTGTGAACCTTAAAAAAAATTTAAAAAAAACAAACAAACAAACAGAAGATTTAAATCCATTTGCAATGCATGTTTTCCTTTCCGATAGTTAGGAACAAAAGAAGTGCTGAAATAATGTACTCATTGAAAAGGCTCATTATGCCTATATTAATTTCTAAAGTTCAAATAAGTTAAATTGTGAACTGCATTAATATAGGGTTTTTGGGAAGTATAAATTTAGTTAAAAGGACAAAAAGTCATTACAAAAAGTCAACTAACTCTTCTCTCTGTGTTTTTTTTTTTTTTTTTTTTTGTCTGTTCGTAGAAAAGTCAAAAAAACCCACTAAAAAAGCCAATTCCAAAAAAAAAACCCTTAATGCACAAGACAGCCAAGAATACTAAGGTAGTACCTATATAGCTAGAAAGCGGTACCTACTACTTGTGATCTGGGCTCATTATCACTAATTAGTTGATGGAGATCTGAGGTTAACTTAACTTGGGTTGAAATTAGACCTTTGCTTAATAGATGAATTGGACACATTCTTTTTTTTTTTTTTTTGATTGGCACCAGGTGTCCAGATCAAAGCCCAACCGAATTGGACACATTCTATAACCATAGAATGGCAAATTACTTCTTGAGAAATCAACATCCATTTTATTTGGTGACACAATTAGAACAATACTATGCTTACCATTTTCATTTCCCATTTGATTAGGCACTAGTCACTATCGCTGGTGTAATGAGTCTCGCATAAACGTTGTTAATATCCAAGGGCTATAAAATTAAAGAGTGAAAATGTTTATGTCAACACCAAGGTGTGGGTGTTTTTTGAATGTGACCCATAAGACCTCATCCTCTATCTTCCCTTCTCTTCCACCCCAAATCACTCATAACCAAGCAAAACTCAAGTTTAAACAAAAAATAAAAAACAAAAAACCTCAATAAATCAATGCCCAACTGATTTTTGCTCGAAGGCCCATCACATTGAATTTTGCAAATTAATAATTGTACTCTTTCACAAATTTTAGTTTAATAATTACCCACAGTAGAATGCAATAATGTCCCCACGATAAAAGTATAAAGAGTAGAAACTCAAATGAAGAAATCAAAGAAATTCACAAATTACAAACATTGAGAGCAAGGGAGCAACAATCTACAAATTAGGAAAAACTGATGATCATATGAAAAGCAAAAATTTAGATTCCACAATTTAATAAGACCAAAAGTCCTAATTATGCCAAATCCAGTTATTTCCAACCCAACCAAATTTACCTTTTCTTTAACATGTCATGATCAATTCAAACACACAAAAATAATATAAAAAAAAAAGCCCCAACATATTCGATGCAATCCAATTAAAATAAATAAGCTATAACTTTGGTTTCTTACTTGATCAACAGTTAAATTAGATATGGACAACTTCAAAATAAGGGAAACACTAAAATGGTGTTCTCCCTTTGAAGCATTGGAATCCATGCTAAAAGAAGGGAAAACACAAAAAAATAAAATAAAATTGTGCACAACTTATTTGAGCATATATATATATATATACAGAGAGAGAGAGAGAGAGGTAGGTGAATAAAAAATGAGTAAGACCTCTCCATTTCCCTACCACCCAGATATAACCAAACACATGAAGCATTAATCAGATGTCGATGGCTTAGGAACAATAGCATAGATTGCATTAGTTTTGAACTTTGTATGGATGGGATTTTTCTTTTTTCTTTTTTTTTCCCCCTGTTTGGATGGTTATGAAGCTTTTCTTGGATAGATATGAAATTGGGGCTAACCAAGGTTACAATAAATTTTTGGGAAATGTTATTAAAGAGAGCTAAAAATCCTTTGTTTGAGTGTAGAGAAAACAGAAAAACAAACTTATTTTTCCTACTAACCAAAAAAAAAAAGAAAAGGGCAAACAGGTGAAGAAGAAGAAGATGAAAGTGAAAACTAGACTAACATACATGGTCCTAATCCAAAAGTTCTGTTAGTGGGTAAATACATATAATTCCAGCCAGTCCGTATATATCAGTAAACCTACTAATGTGGTATCAGATTATTCCAACCAATTTGCTTCATATGTGGAAAAGTTCACTTAATTCATAACTAAAACAAACATAATATACAGTTCCTACGGTAGAATTACTACATAGATATAGATTCGCATACACACAATATTCACAATATTCATCAAACTAACTTAATAACCAAATTCTACAGAGATAAACACAATACTCACCTCATCAAATCAAACGCATCAATATTAGCTGTTGAATCCAAAGACCTTCAAAACCCTATAATATTTTCCATAAATCCCAATCAGTATACCAACACCAAAAAAAAAAAAAGATTATCAAAACAGCAATAAGTCATATACATACATATAAAGCTTTAAAGAGTCAAAACTTTGCAAAAGGCCTATGCGGGTGTAGGAGCAAGTGTGAAGCAATTGTTCCGTGGGTGTATGAGGATGAATCATTCTGTAACAGTATTGTTTTTACGAACGTTCCATGTGTGTAGTTTCTTTATGAATAAATCACGAATACAACTACATTTTGAGTGTTAGCCCCAAAAAAATAAAAAATAGAAAATAAAAATTGTAGTTAGTTTACAAAATTTGAATCTCATTCCTTCAAGAAAACTAGAAATGAACGTTTGTCACATACTATTTTTCAAGAATTTATTGGGACACCATTATTAGTAGAAATTACCTCCCTCGGACCCTTTCCCCTCCACAGATTAAATGCACATGTTTTGACATAGTTGAAGTTTAGATTTCAATCTAAAAAATAGCCAACCAAACAAGCTTCCCATTTTTCAATGTTTTCCCAAGGTGGGAGGATCAACAACGACAGTATTGCTATCAGGTGGAAACTTAGTTTCACAGCAGATCTCTGATTTGTAGCTACCACCGACGCCCAGGTCTTCTTCTCCGGCACAACTGGGTTCGCCACTGGGACAGAGTTGGCAGCATCATTACACACCCCTTGCTCGCTTTGATTTACCAAGTACACAGTCCGTTGCCCAACAAGAACCCCGCAGTACATCTACTTCGCCTCTAGAAGAATCCCCAAAACCTCATTACACACCTTCATGAACTCCGATCCCTTTTTTCCTTCCACTACATCTACCTCGCCTCTAGAAGAATCGACCCACGAGTGTTAAGAGAATCAGCCATAATCAATGAGAGATTGATGAAACCCTAGAAACGAGATGTTTCTAGAGAGAAGGCAGACATTCTCTCTCTAACCCATCTAACTTTTTTTGTTTCATTACAACTTTCTAACTGAGTCAATAGCTTCCCACCATTGTGTTCAACTTGAAGAGGGTTTTGCTTCTTGAAAAATGCTTGGGAGCACTAATTAGTCTTCCCACTAATTAGGTGGTAGTAGGTCTCGTTATTAATGATGTGATATTTTGATTTTGGAGTTATATTTTTTTTTTTTTACTTTTTTAATGTATTAGTGCTATTAGTGGTGATATTTTTAGTGGGATGAATCATTATTGTTACTTCTTGGAGCTCTTGATGTCGATTTGGGTTTAGGTTTGGGTTTGGAGTTTGATAGAGAGTGAGGGTTTGGAGAGTATTTTCTATGTTAATGTTCTTTCAAGAGATGATGACCGCACAGAGAGTTGGAGACATGGTCTTGTTTAGTAGAGCTGTGGAAAAGTGTTTATATTTTATGTTTAAACAGTTTATAACTTATAATTATGAATATAAGTTGATTTCTGACTCATAAATTAAACATCTCCTGCCTCACTCAAAGAATAAGCTGATTTCTGACTTCCAAAAAATTATAAGCTATAAGCTAAACCAAATACATCAAAATAGCTTAAATTAAGCTGAAAGCTAAAATAAGCAACTTTTAAACTGCACCAAACAGGGCCATAGTGTGGCAGAGAGCGATCAAACAAAAGGCAAAATTTTGGTTTTTAGTTTTTTGAATTTAATTTTTTGAAAGTTGGTTTTTTTTTTTCCATGTTTTTTTATTTTTAGTGAACATTTTTAAAATTTTAAATATATTTTTTATTTTTTTAGATACACTTTAATTAGATATATTTAAAAAGTAAAATATTTGTGAAAAAATGTTTTAAAAAATTAATAAATATATAAAAATAAGAAAAATATATTAATTTTTTGTATTTTTTTGTATTTTTGATATTTAGTAAATTTTTTAAATATTTTTTTCACGAAAATTATACTTTTTAAGTGTATTTATGTTAGGTGTGTCTAAAAATTAAAAAAAAAATTTGCTTAAAATATTTAAAAAAATCAGTAAAAACAAAAAACAAAAAATACAAAAAACAAGGAAATTTTTTTTCTGAAAAGTATTTTCAAAAAAATAAAACCAAACAAAGTGATTCAGTGTGTTTGGTTTGAGTTTTTTAGATTAAGTTTTTTGAAAACTAAATTTTTTAATTTTAGTTTTTTTTTTTTGTTGTTGTTTTTAGTGAATATTTTAAAAATTTTAAACATTTTTTTTTACTTTTTTAGATACACCTTATTTAGATATATCTAAAAAGTAAAAAAATTGTGAAAAAATATTTTAAAAAATTAATAAATACATAAAAATACAAAAAAAAAATACTGAATTCTTGTATTTTTTTTAATATATTTTTGGTGTTTAGTGAATTTTTAAAATATTTTTTTTATAATTTTTTTACTTTTTAGGTGTATTTATGTTAGGTGTGTCTAAAGAGTAAAAAAATTGCTTAAAATATTAAAAAAATTCACTAAAAATAAAAAAAACATGAAAAATAAAAAAACTCAATTTTCAGAAAATCGAGTCCAGAAAATTAAAACATTGTGAGACATTAAATATATACAAATAATAGCATAAACACATTATGTATGTATTAAATAATATAAAAAAAAAATCTTATCGAGCCAAACTCG